AAAAAAAAAAACGTGGGGGGGGGAACATTTGGAAAGTGTGGAAACAACGTGGGCGCTTTGGAGTTACAATAGGAAAAGGCAGAAACGGCCCACGTGGGCTTTTCTAACCGGGATTTTGCTGAAAATTCAAGCTAAGTGTAAAAGAGAAGCAAGAATAGGAAAAAAAAAATTATACAAACTGTTTTGTTTCAGGCTGAATGAATTAGAGACTTTCTTCCCATTTAATTTTCTCTCCCTTCCCCCCCCCCCCCCAGTCATTTCCACCCCATGTTTCCCAACCCAAACTAAATACCCCTTCCATTATTCATCCCTGCAGCTTCTCCTTGGCAAATGGCAAGACCCAACCCCGGTTTTAGCTTCAAATCTTCCCTCAGATCCAACCTCTCAGTTGCAGCTGTGAGCACCAATGTTTTGCTCTGAAACTACAGGAGATGCCCTCTGGAACAGTCTCTCAAATCCTGGATTACACAGAAGCACACTGGAGGATGCTGTCCCACAGACGGCCTGCTCTCCCATGGGAATTCTCTCCCTCTTGCCCTCCAGCTCCACAGACTTTCCACAGTGCCAGGAAAACTGTCATCCAGTGCTCACTGGAGACAGTGGAACGATGCCCATGGACAGATTTTATATTGACTTGAGCTGACTTTGGAAGCTAGAGCCTGACCGTACCCGGCTCATACCTGTAGCCTCAGTGTGCTTACACATCAGACCTCCTGCTGTGGTTATAATTTTTTTAATGTTGCTTTTAAATTACGCATGCCACAAGAGCGGGTGTTGGGGTCTCACCCTACATTCGCTGTCAACTCTACATCATATAAAGACTTGCACCTAACAGGTGCAGGATGAGGCCCTTCTTGATACCATCATATATAGCACTAGTCAAAACTTATACTGTGAAATGAAAAACTGCCAGGGGTAAAACTATGATAAAACTACAGAATTCTGATCCCCACCCCCCAAAAAAAAAACCCACCCCAGCCAAACTGGCTGATCCCCACGCTCTTGAAGGTTATGCCTTGTGGAAAAGAATCTGCAACAATGGATTTTGCACAGGCATTGTGTCTTTTCTGCATTTTCTCTTCCCTTTTTCCTTATTACCAGGAACCTTCTCCTTACTGGATCATCTGCGTTCCTGCCGCACATTCGACACGTGAAATCCGCTGTTTATGACATGGTAATAATTTCCATAGTAATCAGTTATGTCAGAAACCAAGTCGCACTGTTTGACTTCCAGTAGGCAAAGCAGCAGGAACAGACAAAAGCCTGAGAAAGGCAAAGTGTGTTTCCATGCTAATGCCTCCTCGTGCAATAAAGAAAAAGGGGAAGGAAACGCGGAGACTAACGTGAATAATCAGATCTGCTTTTTAAAAGCATTACACTTCAGGAAAAAAAGTTATCACCAGAGCTGGGTTTGGTTTTGGGTGGTCTTTTTGTGTTCTACTTTTGTTTTGTTTCAAATGCAGCTGGTATTCATTAACTGAGGATGGACTAGATCCATTTTTCTCAACCTGGCTTTGTACAAACCAAAATCAACTTGGAGGGTGTTTTGTTTTATCTCCCCCCCCCCCCCCTC